ACAAATTTGAACCCGGTCTGGGTGACTAACAATAATTTAGCCAGATCCTATCTAGAAAAGGAAAAAGAGCTGGGGTTGTAGCTCAGTGCAAAGGCCCTGGGTTCGAGCCCTGGTGCCACAAATAAAATGAATTTAAAAGACTTCAAACTGATCCCTGCATACCCATGTTCTAACGTGCACCGTAGCCAAAGGGAAAGGCAGCCCAAGGGCCATCAGTGGATGGCCAGATAAAATGTGGCGAACAGTAAACAGGAAATACCACTCCGCCTTAAGGACCTAGGCCTCTGACACTGGCTACAGCATGGGTGAACCTTGATGACACTCTACTAAGCAGTCCGCCAAACACAATTACCGTGTGATTCCACTTACGTGAAGTATCTGGAGTAGTCACAGTCATGGAGCATTAAGACTGGTGGTTAGGAGCTGGGGAGCAGGGAAAGAGGAATGGTTCCTTAGGAGGTACTCTGTTTTGTGTGATGAAATATGCATGACAATGTGGACGCAATACTAGTGACTTACACCCTTAAAAATAATTAAACTGGGTGTGGTTGCACATGCCTATAATCCCAGCACTCGGGAGGCTGAGGCAGGTAAGGCTGCTGTGAGTTTGAGGCCATTCTGGCCTACATAGTGAGTTCAGGGCCAGCCTGAAATATAAATTACAGAGCAAGAAAAGGGAAACACACACACACACACACACACACACACACACACACACACACACACACCTGAGAGGATTATACTAGACTGAGGACTTCAGAGTCCAGAGGACTCTGAGGAGAGGACCCAGTGCCTTTTACTAGCTTGGAGCCTGAGGCAAATACGCCTTTTCTGAGGCTGGCTCATCCTCGTCAGCCAAGGTGGACAGTCACCTCTCTCCTGGTTCTGAAGACTAAGGGCTGGCTGTTTAGCTCAGCAGTCAACCCTCTGCTCATTGTGTGATATGCCGGTTCCCTCCCGAGCACTGCAGAAGAAAACAAAATGCAGTGCCTGGATCCGAAGTAGACCCATCACCTGCACTGGGTCCTCTCCTCACAAGGGAAGAGGTATGTGAAACACGTAAAACATGGCACAGGAGGCAGTGCTGTGCGATAAAGGAGCCACCTTCCAGAGGGTTGCTGAGACTCAGCT